TAGCTAGCTAGCGACATAGGTATGCAAACGAAGGAAGAAGCTGCAGTAGATGATAAAAGACGCAGAAGCTGCGCTGCAGCAGCAGCAGCAAGAAGTAACCTGCTGCTGTTGCTGCTGCTGCTGCTGCTGCTGCGAAATAAATAGACAGCAGCAGCAGGAGACAAAGGAGCAGCAGAAGGAGACAAGAGGAGACATAAAAAGCAGCAGAGACAGAAGGAGACAGGAAGAGAAGCAGAAAACAAAAAAGGAGACAGAAATATATGTAAAGGCGCAGCAGAGACAAAAGGAGACAGATACTTTCTGTCTCCTTTCTTTCTTTCGTTCTGTCTCTCTTTTTGTCTCCTTTCTGTCTCCTGTTGTCTCCTTTTCTGTCTCCTTTTCTCTCCTTTTTGTCTCTTTGTTGTTTTTTTTTGTCTCCTTTTTGTCTCCTTTTGTCTCCTTTTCTGTCTACATGCTGCCTGTGCATGTCTTCGCCTGACAAAGACACGCCTCCTTTGACGAATCCGAAAAACTGCAGCAGCAACAGCAGCAGAAGCAGCAGCAGCAGCAGCAACAGCAGCAGCAGCAACAGCAGCAGCAGCAACACCGTCACCATTAGCAGAACAATCAGCAGAAGCAGCAGCAGCAGCAGCAGCAGCAGCAGCAGCAGCGGCACAGCAGCAGCATGATCATCAACACCAGCAGCGGCATCCCGTTCATCAGCATCATCATCATTAGCAGCAGCAGCAGCAGCAGAATCAGCAGCAGCAGCAGCAGCATCATCATCATCATCATCACCACCATGACAATCACCATTACCAGCAGCAACAGCAGCAGCAACAGCAGCAGCAGCAACAGCAACACCACAGCAGGCACACCACCAGCAACAGCAACACCAGCAGCAACACCAGCAGCAGCAGCAGCAGCAGCAGCAGCAGCAGCAGCAGCAGCAGCAGCAGTACTGGTAGTCATAGAATATTTCTTCAGTTGGCTGTATATCGCGGAGAGCCGTCAGGGCGACGACCCCCTCCTGCAGCAGCACAGACTCTGCGTTCGGCTCGCAGCAGTGGTTTATATACCTGCAGCAGCAGCAGCAGCAACACATTCTACTCATCAGCTGCTACTGCTGCTGCTGCTGCAGCAGAAGCTGCAGCAACAGCAGCAGAAGCTCCTGCTGCTGCTGCTGCTGCACCCCGATCGGCATAGCCAGGAAAGCCGACTCAACGAATCGCGTGGCCGCAGCATCGCAGCAGCAGCAACAACAGCAGCAGCAACAGCAGCAGCAACAGCAGCAGCAGCAACAGCAGCAGCAGCAGCAGCAACAGCAGCAGCAGCAGCATACCTTGCGAGGTTACCCATGTCTGTTGCATCTACGTATTTTGTATAGAGGGGCTCATCCACAGCGAAGCAGTAGCAGTTGCCGTGCTGCCAGTCATAGCGGGCCTCACTGCAGCAGCAGCAGCAGCAGCAGCAGCAACAGCAGCAGCAACAAACGCAGCAGCAGCAGCAGCAGCAGCAGCAGCGGGAGGAAGAAGGGTACATACGCGGTCTGCTGTTGCTGTTGCTGCTGCAGCAGCAGCAGCAGCAAACAGTTGCGGAGGTCCTCCTAAAGAGCTGCAGCGGCAGGTGACCTTCGCCCCTGCTTCACCAGCAGCAGCAGCAGCAGCAGCAGCAGCAACAGCAGCAGCAGCAACTCACCGCAAGTCCACGAGCTGCGGCGGGGGGTAGCGTTTGTGTTTGGGGTGTATGTACACCTCACCAGCATACTCCACCAGCGGCGTCCCAGCCGGCAGCCATTCAGAAGCAAAAACCCCAAAGCTGCAGCAGCTGCTGCTGTCTACAGAGGCAGAAGAGCAGCAACGCCCACTACCAGCAGCGGCGAAGCACCTC